GATGGCCTCTACAGCAACTAGATATGAAGAATGCCTTTCTTTATGGGGATTTGGAGGAGGAGGTATATATGGATGTACCTCCAGGATTCTCATCTCAGACTACAGTTAAAAAGGTTTGTAGATTAAAGAAGGCTCTGTATGGTTTGAAACAATCTCCTAGAGCCTAGTTTGGTAGATTCCTAAAGGCAATGTTGGGATTTGGGTAACAGCAAAGCAATGCGGATCATACCTTATTTGTCAAACGCAATGTACATAAGGTAACAGTGCTTGTTGTATATGTGGATGACATAGCTGTGACAGGTAATGAAGAGGAGGAGGTGACCCATCTCAAGATGCAGTTAGCCAAGGAGTTTGAGATAAAAGAACTTGGTCCATTAAGATACTTCCTTGGGATTGAAGTTGCTAGATCTGACAAAGGCATCTTTATTTCTCAAAGGAAGTACATTCTAGATCTTCTTGAAGAAACGGGCATGTTGGGCTGCAGACCAACTGATTCACCAATTGAGACTAATCATCATCTTTGTAGTGGAATTGGTGAGCTTGTGGAGAAGGAAAGGTACCAAAGACTTGTGGGAAGACTGATATATCTCTCTCATACTCGTCCAGATATTGCCTATGCAGTTGGAATAGTGAGTCAGTTTATGCATGATCCTCGTGTACCTCATTTGGATGCAGTCTATCGCATTTTGAGGTACCTTAAATCTGCCCCTGGAAAAGGAATTTTGTTCTCTAATCATGGTCACTTGAGGTTGGAAGCATTCACAGATGCAGATTGGGCAGGCTCTATAGATGACCGACGCTCTACATCTGGTTATTGTGCTTTTGTAGGGGGAAATCTAGTTACATGGCGTAGTAAGAAGCAGGGGGTCGTTTCTAGATCTAGTGCTGAAGCTGAATACAGGGCTATGGCACATGGAACATGTGAACTAATGTGGCTTCAATCTTTGTTGAGTGATATAGGGCTTGATTGGAGTGGTCCCATGACTTTGTATTGCGACAACAAGGCTGCTATTAGTATTGCACACAATCCTGTTCAACATGACCAGACTAAGCATATTGAGATTGACAGACATTTCATTAAGGAGAAATTGAATAAGGGTGTGATATGTATGCCTTTTGTTAAGTCTGAAGATCAACTGGCGGATGTTTTTACTAAGGGTCTTAGTAGTAAAATCTTTCACCCTATTTGTTGCAAGTTGGGCAAGAGAGACATATTTGCACCAACTTGAGGGGGAGTGTTAAGTGTTAGGGGTAGTTTGGTCTTTATGTATTATTCTTATTAGTATAAGTAGTTGTGTGTAAGGGGAAAACCCTAAGTTTTGAATCAATAATCTACAGAAGCTTTCTCTTGTTCTATTCCTTCTTCTTCTTCTTCTTCTTCTTCTTCTCATCTATACATTCAACATATATATATATATATATATACCTCACCTTTGTCCTCTCAGGCTCTTCAATGCACTTCTGGCTCCTCCCCTCGTCTCCTTCAACAGTGGCATCGCCGTTTAGGGCATTCTTCCTTTAGCATTTTAGAGAAACTTTTTCCTTTATTAGTTCGTGATTGTCCTAGGAATACCTTTGTTTGTGATGCTTGTAAGCTTGCTAAGCATAAACGTACTTGTTATCCTTCAATTAATAAAAGAAGTTCTTTTCCTTTTATGCTTATACATACCGACGTTTGGGGTCCTTCCCCTGTGGTTTCTACCTCTGGTTATCGGTGGTTTGTCACATTTATTGATTGTTATTCCCGTGTAACTTGGCTTTATTTACTTTGTACTAAAAATGAGGTTTTCTCGTGCTTCAAAAGTTTTCATAAAATGGTATCCAATCTTTTCAATGCTACTATCAAAATTCTTAGGAGTGATAATGGGACTGAATATGTTGATGGCGCTTTCCGGGCATACCTCGAGGAGCATGACATTCTTTATCAGACTAGTTGTGTTGGCACTCCTGAACAAAATGAAATTGCTGAACGTAAGAATGGCCACCTCCTTGAGGTTGCTCGTTCTCTCTTGTTTACCATGAATGTTCCAAAGTTTTTTTGGGAGATGTTGTTCTTACAACGACTTACCTTATTAACCGTATGCCCTTCTGTGTCCTTCACTTCCAAATTTCTCTTGAGCTTCTTCTTATGACTTATCCCACTTCTTCCCTTTTGCCCCTGGTTTTTGGTAGTGTCTGTTTTGTTCATATTCAACCTCGTACTCGTGGGAAACTTGATCCTAAGGCTATCTGGTGTGTCTTTCTTGGTTATTCTGCTACTCAGAAAGGCTACAAATGCTATGATCCTCACTCTCATAAGCTGTATGTCAGTATGGATGTCACCTTTCGTGAATCTGAGTCTTTTTTTTTTTTGGTCCTTCGTTATCTCCTCAGGGGGAGAGTGGTATCGATGAGATTGCGGATGAGTCATATCAGCATGAGTTGTCTTTTTTCCTTCCTATTCAGCGGGCTGTTATTTGTTGTGAGGGGGAGCCTAGAAGTTCTGTTGATGAGGAGTCGGATATCGATGGTCATTTGGACAGAGCTGATCTTAAGACTTATTCACGATGTCAGAAAAAGCTGGCTTCTCTTGTGCTACCAAGTCAATCATCATCTCCTATACCAGTTCCACACCCAGTTTCCACTGACTCTACAGGTAATGATCCTCAATCCATTTCTTCACCTATTGTTGATGGTCCTGTTACTGATGATTTGAGTCTTATTGCTCTTAGAAAGGGAGTTAGAGCCTGTACTCAACACCTTATTTCAAAATTCGTGTCATATGATTTGTTGTCTTCTCCATATCGTGCTTTTGTTTCGTCTCTTTCTTCTGTGTGTATTCCGCAGGGTTGGAAAGAAGCCATCAATGATTCTAAGTGGAAGGTAGCTATGGTAGAAGAGATGCAAGCTTTGAGTAAAAATAACACATGGGAGTTGATGTCTCTAATGGGAAAAAATCAGTCGGATGTAAGTGGGTGTTCACCATTAAGCACAATGCAGATGAGACGATTGAACGGTACAAAGCAAAACTAGTGGCCAAGGGATTTATCCAGACATATGGAATAGATTATCAAGAAATTTTTGCCCCGGTAGCAAAGATGAATTCCATTCGAGTTATTCTGTCATATGCGGCTAATTTGGGATGGCCTCTACAACAACTAGATATGAAGAATGCCTTTCTTTATAGGGATTTGGAGGAGGAGGTATATATGGATGTACCTCCAGGATTCTCATCTTAGACTACAGTTAAAAAGGTTTGTAGATTAAAGAAGGCTCTGTATGGTTTGAAACAATCTCCTAGAGCCTAGTTTGGTAGATTCCTAAAGGCAATGTTGGGATTTGGGTAACAGCAAAGCAATGCGGATCATACCTTATTTGTCAAAAGCAATGTACATAGGGTAACAGTGCTTATTGTATATGTGGATGACATAGCTGTGACAGGTAATGATGAGGAGGAGGTGACCCATCTCAAGATGCAATTAGCCAAGGAGTTTGAGATAAAAGAACTTGGTCCATTGAGATATTTTCTTGGGATTGAAGTTGCTAGATCTGATAAAGGCATCTTCATTTCTCAAAGGAAGTACATTCTAGATCTTCTTAAGGAAATGGGCATGTTGAGCTACAGACCAGATGATTCACCGATTGAGACTGATCATCATTTTTGTAGTGGAGTTGGTGAGCCTGTGGAGAAGGAAAGGTACCAATGACTTGTGGGAAGACTGATATATCTCTTTCATACTCGTCCAGATATTGCCTATGCAGTTGGGATAGTGAGTCAGTTTATGCATGATCCTCGTGTAACTCATTTGGATGCAGTCTATCACATTTTGAGGTACCTTAAATCTGTCCTTAGAAAAGGAATTTTGTTCTCTAATCATGGTCACTTGAGGTTAGAAGCGTTCACAGATGCAGATTGGGCAGGTTCTATAGATGACCGACGCTCTACCTCGAGTTATTGTGCTTTTGTAGGGGGAAATCTAGTCACATGGCATAGTAAGAAGCAGGCGGTGGTTTCCAGATCTAGTGCTGAAGCTGAATACAGGGCTATGGCTCATGGAACATGTGAACTAATGTGGCTTCAATCTTTGTTGAGTGATATAGGGCTTGATTGGAGTGGTCCCATGACTTTGTATTGCGACAACAAGGCTGCTATTAGTATTGCACACAATCCTGTTCAATTTGACCGGACTAAGCATATTGAGATTGACAGACATTTCATTAAGGAGAAGTTGAATAAGGGCATGATATGTATGTCTTTTGTTAAGTCTGAAGATCAACTGGCGGATGTCTTTACTAAGGGTCTTAGTAGTAAAGTCTTTCACCCTATTTGTTGCAAGTTGGGCATGAAAAACAACTTTGCACCAACTTGAGGGGAAGTGTTAAGTGTTAGGGGTAGTTTGGTCTTTATGTATTATTCTTATTAGTATAAATAGTTGTGTAAGGGGAAAATCCTATGCTTTTGAATTAAGAGAAATATAACAACTCTCTCTCGTTATTCTTCTTCTTTTTCTTCTTCTTCTCATCATCTATACATTCAACAGAAGCTAAGGTGGATGTGTGGTAAGACTAGACAAGACAGAATTAAGAATATGTGTATTCGGGAATGGGTAGGAGTAGCACCGATATGAGATAAGTTGAGAGAGAATCGATTGAGATGGTTTGGTCATATTCAACGGAGACCAACAGAGGCAGTAGTGAAGAGATGCGATGCTGTAACAGTAGATAAAAGTGTTAGGGGACGGGGTAGGCCCAGATTAACGTTGGCTAACGTTGTAAATAGAGATATGAATCTATTTAATTTGACTAATGAAATGGCCTTAGATAGGGCCACGTAGAGAAGAAGGATTCATGTAGGCGACCCCATTTGATGGAATTTAAGGCTTGGTTTGGTTTACATTATGTGTTTTTTATGCTAGGTCGCAATGTACATTAACAGATGGATTGTCTCTTCTCTCTGCACTATCATGTTTGAAAATCCATTCCAGAAATTGATGACTTTTATTCTGTGCTTCTTCTTGCAGGCTATTTCTTTGAGAGAGATGGAAGATGTAGCCTCCTTGGAGGAGAAGTTGGGTCGACCACTCTCAAAGCAGGAAAGAAGTAGGATAGGTGTGAGCAGCCTCAGGCTGTTCTTAGAGGAATTGCTACAGAAAAGGTAGGCAGTTGTTATTCTACTCTGATTGAAATACAGTCAGTTGTCTCAGTTCAATGTTTTTTTGCTATTTTGTAACTGAAAATTTGATATGTATATTGTTTCAAGGTATATGGATAGTGTTCCATTGATCATTCCACTTCTTGAAAAAGAATATAGGAGCACAACAAGAAAGCTAAATGAAATAAATGTGGAACTCAGGTTTGTACTTTGACTTATTAAACTAATGGTTTTTGAGGAGGTCGAGGTGGAAAATAACTTATAACCTTCAAAAGCACATTTACTGAAAACAAGAAGGAAGGAGAAAAAAGGGAGGGTGGAGGGGTTGGTACCTTGGCACCCGTTATTTATGTTTTTTTCAACATCTAATATTTTCATTTTATGATTAGATTATATGCCATTGTTTTGTTTTTTCTTTTTTCCCCTCCCTCCAGCACTTTTGATGAAGTAAAATTGAAGGAGAAAGGAAGAGCTTTCCACGATCTGTTTCTGACCAAGGTTTCTTTCAAATGGGCATACTTTCTATTACTCAGTTCTTTACTCAATAATATTCCATTTACTCATTTGGTCTGTGAGTTTATGAGGATCATCAGAAGATTATACAAGTACTGAGATGGACATTGTTCATGTGAATTAGTGAAGACAGTTTATTGTTTTTGTGAGACTATTTCTTTCAGTTATTTATTAATTTATCTTTAAATGATTTGGTTTTGAGAGTAGTTCAATATTGTTGTGTTCTGACTAAAGTTTACTTTATTACTCAGTTGTCACTGCTACTGAAAGGGACAGTCGTTGCACCCCCAGATAAATTTGGTAAATCATCATGATGTTGCTTTCCTATAATATGGTAGACACTGTTTTGTGGTGGTTTCACTTGTCACTTTATTTATTTATTTTTTTTGGGTATAGATTTCTCGCCAAAAAAAATTCATTTATACTATAAATATGTATTGTTTTTAGGATTTATTTTCCCGATTTTATCTAGGTTGCCTTGTTAGAACATCATTAGCTTTGGTATCTTATGGTTGCAGGGGAAGCACTACAAGATGAGAGGATTAATGGAGGGGCATTCATAGGCACTGATGGTCTTCAATTTCCACACAAGCTAATACCTGTAAGCTTTAATCTCGCCATGTCATTGATGTCTGTCTAAGAGCATCTCCAATGGAGCTGCTATATCAGTTGCCAAAGCTAAAAAATGACAGAAATGGCAAAAATCAGTCTCCAACGGTCTGCTATTTCACTTGCCAAAGATGGCAGATGCCATATGTGTTCTCAAATATGGCAAGTGAAATAGCAGATGCCAACCTTGCCGGATCAGCAAAAATCAACTGAAATTGGCACCAAATTCAGTTGAGAAAACAACAGAATTAATCCAGTAGGGAAGCTATTTTCCAAAATCAAACCCAATTTTTACAATCAAGCAAATTTCACATGAAGACAGATCGTGTATATATATATATATGATCAAACCCATGAAGACAGCTTGTATATATATATATGATCAAAATCAAACCCAAAATACATATATGTATGATCAAACCAATGAACCTCTGCTGACCGTATATATACATATATATATATATGATCAAGATCAAAATCAAACCCAAAACATATAAATATATATATATATATATATATGATCAAACCCATGAAGCCATAGCAGACCGTATTAGCAGACCGTATATATATATATATATATGATCAAAATCAAACCCAAAACACATGCACAGATTTTTGATGGAGATCAAAACACATGAACACTGATTTTTTTGATGGAGATCAACACAGATCAAAACATATATGTAAATAGATGAAGATCATACCAGAGACGGAGAGTACACAGATCTTGGAGGAGAAGAGGGAGATCGAGTCCGATCATGGAGGAGATCATGGAGGAGAAGGGTTTCGATCTCGGAGGACATCATGGAGGAGGGGGTTCCGATCTTGGAGGAGAAGGGGAGATCGGGTTCCGATCTTGTGCTCTATTTGGTTTGTGCTCTGTTTGATTTCGGCAATGGAGGAGGAGAAAGAGTGAGAATGAACCGTGGAGGAGATGAGAGTGAGGAGAGTGAGAAATTGTAGATAGATGTATGGCAAAGTAGTGATGCCTCAGTGTAAATAAAGAGCCGTTCGGCTCTGTTTGGTTTGTTCAACAAAAAATTATATAATATAAATATAAATATATAATTTTGGGTTTGTTCGGGAATGGTTTAAATGAATATAAATATATAAATATATAAAAATTATATATATTTATATAAATTATATAATATAAATATAAATATAAATAAATATAAATACAAAAAATAGTGATGCCTCAATATTTGTCTAGATGAGAATAATATAAATATATAATTTTTTTAACAAACAGGTAAAAAAATGTCACAAAAGACAAAAAATAAATAAAAATAAAATCACAAAAAATTTATATACAAACAACACCTACAAACTTGGAGGGAAATTGGTTGAGATTTGCCAAAAATAGCAAATGACCATTGGAGCACCATTGCTATAATTTGACAAAATAACACTATTCATTGTCAAATTATAGCAATAGCAACCATAATATAGCAATAACCATTGGAGATGCTCTAAGAACATCTTCACTTGAATTTTAAAAAAATTATAAGTCAACTTATTTTGAAAGCTTGTTAAGATCTTGTTTGTGAACTAAGTATTTTAAATAAAAAATTAAAAAGTCATTATAAATTGTCATATCATTCTTTTTATTTTTTTACATATATTTTTATAAAATGTCAAAAAATTATTAAAATAACATATTCACAAATGAGATCTAAATTGGCATATTGACATTTCTAATAAAAATACTTTAATTGATATGTCAAATTTATTATTTTATTAGTTTTATTTTAAACTTTATTTATTTTAATGTTTTTAACACTTTTATATAGGTAAAACTAATTATAAGTTTAAACAAAACAACTTAAGATACAATAATAAAACAAAAATTGCATAAATTTATAGAATTAGTGTCATATCGCAATTTTTATTATCTTTGAATGATATATTCATATATGTAACATATAATAAATATATTAAATTATATATTTTATGCATGTTCCTCGCGTGTCATGTCCGGCATTTTTGAAAATTGAAGTGTTAGCGTGTCCGTGTTCGTGTCCGTGTCCGTGCTTCATAGATTGTTCTTATTTATTACACATTTGTTCAACATAACATGTTTTTGTAAAAAAATAAATAAATAGAACATGTTTGCTTCTCTCATGGCGTAGTTTTTGATATTGTTCTTGCTAACTGATCTATAGATAAACTACAAATAATAATCTCATCTAAATTTCTATAGGTAATGAATGACAAAAGGCCATTTTAAGCAAGTTTTTGTTACTTGATCACATTTTACATAAATTTTTTCTCAAAACTCTTTCAGAATTTTGCTGTTTAAAGCGTTCATTCACCTGCCTAAGGTGTACTCCTTATTAAACATAAATTTGAAAATCTTTTGGGTTGCTAAAAAATCTTTTAATTCTCGATATAAATGTAGAAATGGGTGGCATTTTGTAGCCTTTCTTGGATATATAAGCACAATTTGTTAACTTGGTGATTCCTCTTCCACTTGTTCAGGCGTGGCTTTTAGGAAGTTGGCTCACATTTCTCTTTTTGATGTTTCTTTTCATGTCTTTTTTTTTTTACCGATCAATTGATTACATGCCTGAACCCTATCAGTGAATGCAAAAGGGCTATCATGGATTAAAATATCTGCTGTCCATTTTCTTTGAAATTTTGGAGATCTGTGCTGTGTATTAAAACTTGTTTTGTATCGTGTATAGAATGCGGGAATGCGTCTTTATGGGGGTGCTCAATATCACCGTGCAATGGCTGAATTCCGTTTTGTTGTTGGAGGAATCAAATGCCCTCCAATTACACGCGAAGAAATTGTAAATGCATGTGGAGTTGAAGATATTCATGATGGAACAAATTATTCTAGGTAGCCATGGTTCTCTGGCTTCTTCAAGAACTTGGTTCCAATTATATCAAAGTTGATATTGCTTCTTATATCATTGTTCTAATTTTATCCTCACTCTTTCTCTCGGAAATTAGAACAGCTTGTGTGATTGCTGTTGCAAAGGCTCATGATACATTTGAACCTTTTCTTCATCAGGTGATGAATTCAATTTGGCTTCTAAAGTACATGGAATAGGGATTGGTAGTCTAATGGTATTGCTAATCCTACAAAATGATGAAATTATCAATACCACACCCTCATGGTATTGGCATTCCTATGTCTAGCCACACCACTCCATCCAATAATAAAAAATCTCATCTCATGCTATATCCTACCATAATCAAACATAGTACAAGTACTTTTTTGGTATATATAATCTCATCCAATATCATAGGTATTATTAATCTTGTCTGTAATCCCAGAGTATTACCAATCTCCATATCCCACCAAAATCATGTCCGGGAGTCAAACATGCCCTTGGAAGCCTAGAACTTTGTGAGTGGACAAATTCTCAGTGACTAAGCCGACCCTTATCTTTTTTTCTTCTACTTCCACTTCCATGCAGATTTCTTGTGAACAAGCCTGCATCATGCATTCTCCATTGATAAACTAATTCAACTCGTACTTTGGGGCATGCCATCGGACTACAATGTTTTTATTGCTATGTTCGTTGCTCTATTTTTGTTCTTTATTTTTAGCATGTAATTTTATTGCACCAATTCCTTTTCTTATCCTTCTAATTTCTTCTTCTTCATTGAAATCAATTTCTACAGTTGGGATTTAGACTCTTGCACATTTTGAAGAGATTGCTTCCCATCTCTGTCTATCTTCTTCAGGTATGGGTTTTCTTATCTGGTGGATTATTAGGCTAAATCTCTAACATTGATATCTCTAACATTGATATAGATCCTGAAAGTTCACCCTATTTGATTTGCTTTCCCCTCTTATGACAACTGATCCATTGCCCTGTAATTTGTTTCCACAGAAAGAAGGTGAAGTTTTAAGTGGTCATGACGTATTTCTAAGGCGTGTTGCATCTGCTTTCAACAATTTTGCAGAATCCACTGAACGATCATGCCGTGAAAAGTTAGTCACTTGTCTTTATTCAGTTCATCTTACCATCCCATTTCTCTATAAAGTAATTCTGTTTGAAATCCTTTCCACTGGCTATTAATTGTTCAAATGATTTACACCATATTGGAGGCTATGTTCACAGATGTTACTTCGATACAACTAAAGTTCTATTCAGCTAATTGAATAACTAACTTTTTGCCAGTAATGCTCAATAATCTACTCTCTTTATTTTCTATTATTTTGTTGCTAGATGTTTGGAGGATTTAATGAGCACCACACGATATGTGACTTGGTCCCTCCACAATAAGGTTATTATGCTCAACTTTAAATCATTTGAAATTATAATGGGTCTATCAATTTCTTGATCATTTACATTGACACTGCTATGCCTTTTCAATGAATTTAAGAAATAGTGTCAATTTTATTCCAATATCATTCTTTCTTTATTTTATTTACTCATTTTTTATTTTTTAGTTTGGGGAGGGGGTCTGTATGATATTTTTGGGACCAATTAATTGTAGCCCCGCAATCTGACTGATGATCCTATTAAAAGTATATACTTGCCTTAAAAATGATATAGGAAATATAACTAATTTTATTGTTGAGAAGGACCATTCATTATCTAATGTTGGGCATTAGATTCAAACCCTTATATTTTGCTTCCTAGGCATTTCAGGAAGCTATTAAAATTACCATTGATTTTTATTGTAATGGGATGTTTTCAAGAATCATCTCAAAAAACAATGCATATGTTGATGATTTGCTTTTCTTGGCTGATACTTGTGGTGGATTTGCCCATATTTGATGTTATGTCCAATTGGCAGAATCGGGCTGGATTACGTCATTTCTTAGACTCATTTGGTGGAACAGAGCAGTCTACTACAGGTGGCAATTCTGCATCCCCTGGTCTTTCTCATGAGTCATCATTTGGGTCAATGGCCAATGACAAGCACGACACTAAGCAGAGGTCAGATATAAAACTCAGTCATTTGGCCTCAGGCATCGACTCCAGCACCAGTATGCAGACAACAGAGATGAGGCTAGCTGACCTTTTAGATAGCACGCTTTGGAACAGGAGGCTTGCTCCTTCATCTGAAAGGATTGTATATGCTTTGGTACAACAGATATTCCATGGCATTAGAGAATATTTTCTGGTTTCTGCAGAATTAAAGGTATGCACTAATGTATGGTACTTCTTTTCTGTATGCATCTTTTAGGATTCATTAGATGGGATTCATCCTAAACTGATTAGTGAGGGTGAGTAGAAAGTGCCATTTAGTTGATACAGTAGTGAAGGGTTTTCCTCATTATTTTTATTTTTTATTTTTTATTATTTACAGATATTATGCTTCCTCTTTTTATTTACTTTTTTTCTTTCTTTTTCCTGCTTTTCCCACACAACTTTGTTCCATGGTACCTGACTGATTGATGTGTTGCAAAATTTCTATTCAACTATTAGAGGGGGAGGGAGGATAATTTGTTGATTCTACTTTGCAAATTTTTGGCCATCCCTCTGTTCTTTTATCCCTTTTAACATCCATATTTTGCAGTTCAACTGCTTTCTTCTAATGCCGGTTGTAGACAAGTTGCCTGCACTTCTTCGGGAGGACTTAGAATCTGCATTTGAAGATGATATGGACAATGTTTTTGACATTACTAATCTGCGGCATTCGTTGGGGCAACAGAAACGAGAAACAGAAATTGAGCTGAAACGGGTACTAATCTATCTGTGCCGTCCTCACCCCTATGGAATTATCCATTTTCTTTCTTCTTGGTTTGTTAATGATGCTGCCATTTGCAGATACAAAGGCTTAAAGAAAAATTCAGACAGATCCATGAGCAGCTTAATTTGCATCAGGTCATGTCGAGGACATAGCTAGTGACTCTGAATCCTACTGAATACATGTTGATGTGAAATGGACATTTATCATCCCAACTACAGATAAGAATGAAATGTGTGAGATATGATTCTTTACTTATTTCTTCTTTTGCTCAAATTATCTATTTTGCTGCCTTGAAAGAAGAGTTATTTTGGTAGCAGTATTAGACTCCTTGTACCTTGTACCTTGTACCTTAGTTTAAAAATAATATATTTTTGTGTCTGTTTACTTGGCCATAATTCTATTGACTTGAACTACAGTTTTCAATGTGATTTATATTTGCTAGATTTTTGTTTTTTGGGTTGTTTTTTGGCAGTTCAAAGACTTAATAAGAAATATTGGGGCTTGGACTCGTAAGATGGTTTATAGTCTCTTCCAAAGTGAATATGCACTATAAGTTGCATCATTTTATTTTCTATTGTTGAAATGAGCTCTTTCAAATTTAAGTTTCACTTGAACTAAAAACAGTATGATATTTTTCCCCATCAAATGAGGGTAGAAGGGGGCAACTAGTGGAACATATAGGAATATCATAGAAAATCTCTCTCTCTCTCTCTCTCTCCTAGTTTTTCAATTAATTTTTTTGTGTTGCATTTTCCCACCAAAATTGTCCCAGCATGATCCTTTTCAAGTCAAAATTTGGCCAACCTAATCCAACCATACAGTGAGTCTAAGAAGCACGGATACTTCTAAGAAGGTGACGTATTTATGTTGTGTCCGTGTCGGACACCGACACTCTTTGGACACTTCCCCGACGCGTGTCTGACACTCTTCAAAATGTGTCTTATTTTTTAATTTTTTTAAAGACCAAGCACTCTCAAAACATTTTGAGGACACACATGTCTATCGCTTAAACACACAATTAGACACAATTGAAACTAATAAGGTTGAACAAAACAACTTAAGATACAATAATAAAATAAAAATCATATAAATTTATAAGAAGTAGTGTCATATTATATTTTTTATTATCTTTCACTGATATATTCATATATATATAACATATAATAAACATATAAAATTATATATTTCATGCGTGTCTCTCATGTGTCGTGTTCTTCATTTTTTGAAAATTAGCGTGTCGGCATGTCCGTGTTGTGTCGTGTCACGTGTCCGTATCTATGTCTGTGTCCATGCTTCTTAGCAGTGAGTTTAAACAATATATTACTGCTGCTACTCATTAACATGTCCTTTTAAGGATGGTTCTGCAGGTATTCTCGTCCACAACATTTGCAGAACCTGCAACTCATCTTCATTCTTCCATCAAATCTTTTTTTTGAGATTTTGCTTCTTAACAATGATCCTTGAACATCATTTACAGCAGAATTTGTGAACTCCCTATTAGGTTTAATCACCAGCTGTCCCTTTTATATTAAGGGAATTATGCTATCCAGAGATGCGTTCTCTTAAGAAATTATTTTAGAGAATAATGCGAAATCAGAAACTTTGCGCTTTTAGTAACTCTAGCACTTTATTAGGAAAACAGAAAACAGAGAACAGAAAAATTAATGAATGTTTCCACAAAAAATTAACCTGTTTTCTTGTAACTCCAAAACTTAGAAACTGTGGAGGTGGATTGAGAAATAAATTGTAGCCAAGGGATTCTTTGAACTAATTAACTCCCAAAATACACTTACAAAAGCTGAATCACTGTAAGCACTTTTAAGTTTGAAACAACATAGAAGTTGCACTACAAGCAGCTAACCTTAAAACAAAATCTGTACTTGTATGATTAGAATTTAGAATGTAACCCTTGTAGCCTGCTTAGAAAAAACCTTCTTGTCAAAGATTGCGAAACTGGTACTCGTAGATGAAGTCCCTCTACCACAGGAAGGATCAGAGTCATCTTCATAAATGTCCGAGTAGTCTGTTACTACCCCGGCAGCTTCAAGATAAAGATCATGAGGCAGCTGAGGGAGATTAGCATCCCCTAACGAGAACTGCACAACTCATCTCGTACTTGGTCCGTAATCCGGATTCAGATGAGAGCAAAGCGAGACAAGGCCGACCACAAGCTCGGCTTCCTCTGGGTTGTGCTCTTCCAATCCGGGATCAATGGCTTTAGAGATGGCTTCCTGAGAATGTAGTTCCCTAACCCAATCAACCAAAACCAGTTCCTCGACATTCCTCTGGGGCTCAATTGGCCTCCCTCCGGTAGCTACCTCTAGCACAAGTGCACCATAGCGTGCACATCTGTTCTTGTCGTAGCCTTCCCTGTCTTGGTGAGTTTGGGGGCCAGGTACCCCATGTCCCCACAATGTGGGTTGTCTGTGGATTGATTCCATGTTCATAAGTCCTTGCTAGGCCAAAATCACTGAGCCTTGGATTGAGTCCTGCATTTATTAGAACATTGCTTGGCTTCACATCTCTGTGAACTACCCTCTGGTCACATTCTTCATGGAGGTACAGCAATGCTTGTGCAATCCCAATGAGGATCTTATATCTTTGCTCCCAAGTTAGTACTTTCTTCTTCTGGTTCTGGTTAGCGAGCAATAGTTTATCGAGGCTTCCATTTGGTACGTAGTCGTAAACAAGGAGCTCATCTCGTCTTCTGCACCAGGTTCCAGTGCCTAAGCTGTCCCATACTCATTATTTCTGCTACAAATTCTCTCATACCCTACCGGGAATCATGAGCAATCTGCTTTATTGCCACTTCTAGCCCAGTACTAGGGATTACTCCCTTGTAGACTCTCCCAAATCCTCCAGAACCTATAAGGTTTCTTTCTCCAAACCACCTTGTGGTGGCAAAGAGCTCAGAATATTTGAATCTACGAGCTCCATATTCCACTTCCCAATCTTCCAAGATCTCTTCCCCATTTTAAAATCGATTTAGGACGTGACTTGCATGAGATATAACCAACAAGACCAAAGCCACACTAGCTATAGTGATACCTGCGGTGAATCCCTTGCTATGCACTACCTTGTGAGATCAGAGCTTTGAAGGATCTAAGTCAGGTGCCATTTCCCCGATCCTTAAGTTCCACCCCAGCACATTATGAGCAGCTGAGAGCAAACCTGTTGAAGCAGAGAAGCCTACATACATGTATTCATTTAACACCGATGAGCATATTGTATTTTTTAATATCTCCGAGTTGGCCTCAGAACGCCAATAGGAGATATTGTAATGTTCATCAACTTCTCGTGGCTGTTATATTCAATCCATGCTTGAATGAGGTGTCCACTCTTGAGGATAATGGAGTAGTTGTGGTTGTTGCTTCCGGGTAAGTAATAAGCAGAGAAATGTTGGAGATCAAGCTGGATAAGTCTATTCCTACATGGTTATTGTTGATTTCAAAGAGCTCCACATTTTGGACAACATCAAACTCGATTGCCAATACTCTTGTATTGAATTCTGCATTGCTAGTGTCATTTGGCAGGCCCAAGTACTGGTTTGGAAGACAACCCTTGGGTTCTTTGGTGGAGAATAGAAGGAAGGCAAGGCCATGGCCTCCAAGTTCAGGATACTTGGGGTTGATAGAGAATACAAAGTTAGTACTGAAGGTGACAACAGAAGATTTGTTGTTGCTATCGTTAGGTCTGCTTTTCTTGAAGCGTAGAGGAGATGGATAGAGTGCATGTCCAAAAAGCTTTGTTGTATCGTCTGTCACAGCCAACATGCCATCAGACCTTACATAGGAAGCTCCATCCAGGCTCAGATTTGCTAGGATAAAACCATTGTATGTGAAACTAATCTCTGAGCTGACAAACTGTAGGAGTAGAAGTTGCGGGCACAAGCAAAATGCTGCCATGTTTGTGAAGTGAGTTTTAGCCATAGGGATGCCATGAGAGGTTTTTTAAACTAGGAACACTAGTGAGGATATATGAGGTTCACTTCCCTAACAGCTGACTATGTGTATGCCTATTTTTATATGAAGGCCATGTTTGGATCTTGGATTTATGGACGAAAAAGAAAAGGGTGCAGAAGGAAACTCTAGATTTAGGAATTGAGTTCCGTAGATTTTGAAACTTGAGCAAAACTTGCTGTGAAGGGCAGCCTATAATAGTTTTATGTTCTTTAATTGACATCTACAAAATGAAAGTTCTTTCATTGATGAAGGCTTGTACTATTCTTCCTATTACTTTGAAGCTTGATGTTGTTATGACATTAGTTTAAGTTATTAGAAAATTTAACATTTTTAGTTTGATTTTGATAAACATAAGCCATTAATAATTCTAAAATTAGTAGCTCTGTTGTATTTCTCGTCATTATATCCCAAGATAACTTGATAGCTTCCTTGTATATTTGAAGTTGTTTATGTGGGTTTTTTGTCTTCCCCATATTAACCCTGGCATGGCATTTCCATTACTTGGTTTTTCAAGCAAGTGGAGGAAACAGTGTGCCTACAAAACTAGATGTTCTGTTGGCTTAACAGAGGAAATCCCATTGATATTAGAACTTCGTTTACATTAAATAAATGCAAATGGAGAGATGTTTCTGTGGAATCAAGGTACTAAATGCCTTATTTATTTACTTGGAATCTAGAGATGAGAAAGCAAGTTGATATCTGAATCATAGCAAGCCTGTAAAATAGATTATCTTACTCATTATAAATCAAAACCTATGTAATAGCTGATGTAATCGTATTGGGATTACAGTTTTGTTCATGTTTTGATTATTCATCGGCTTTCATGCATTATAAGCCTAGCAGGGAATAATTCTGATTTAGTTAATGTTTTTCAAATAAATCATTGGGATTATTATATCTTTTAGGGAATTTCAAAACAGTACTGTACTTCAGAAAGTGTTAAGAAAGTTAATGTTTAGCTTTTGGACTACAAGTTGCTTAATACATCATGGAACACAGCGAAGGATATGAACTGGAAATAGTTATTTAGAGCCAAGTTGAGAGTTTGCATCTGGAATGATGTGTTGTTATTGTTATCTATATATGCTTATTACATAAATGCAGTGTTGTTATTGCACTGCAAACTATGCAAAGAAAAATTGCTCTTCTTTTCTTTACCACTTGTTTTTCTAGTTTTTAAATGGTGGAGATTAATATACAACATAGAAATGTTGTGGCTTCCGTTTGGCTTGCAAGAAAATTATTCATTTGCAAATTCTTGCATTATGGATTACTCTTCCAACAGCATTTGTGTCACTCTAGTTGAGAAGTCTTTAAATTTTTAATCTATTTAGGAAGTTAGTGCATTGATCCAAACAATATGCTGCAACAAGTGATGCTTTAAGGCTAAATTGCATGAATTATCTCAATTGTTTAATAGCACTAGGCTTACT